AAAGAAATAGAAAGTTGTATTCCCCTCTACGCTCCTATGCTTATTCTGCATTATGTGTCCCCAATCGTGTTTTAGGGGTGGACACAATAACTTCGACTTAGGCAGGGGTGGGCTGTTCTGGACTGATGAAATGGAGCTCGTATAATTATGGTTGAACTTTCTTACAGGTAAGTCATTTAATCGTAAATTATACTTCTCTCCATTCCATCAGTCCAGAACACATTGGCAGATGTGCAGAACAAGAAAAAACACGATTTCCTATGAAACTTATAACTAAAAATAAACAGTATACTTTATATATAACTAAGTAACCAACCAACACCAATAATATAAAATAATCTGACATTATAGATATTAAAGGTATACTCCTCTATACATAACATTTGAACAATAAGTAGATATGCTTACTGATATAATTCAACAACATATCAATTTTATTAATTCTAATGGATTCAATATATAAATGGAATAAAAACTAATATTTTCTAAATAGTTTCTTAGGTAAACAATTTTAAAGAAAAAGATTTTATATCAATGTATTTGCCTAGAACATTCCTAATCCATCTTGATAGTGTTTGGGTAGATGCCGCGTGAATGGGCTTTTTATAGGTTAAGAATAGATTCTTAATACTTGTAGCGACATGCACTACATATCTTTATCATTTTTATTTCGTCATACGAATTAAATTGTTGTCATCATTTGGACAACCGTTCGTGGCAGTTCTAGCGAGACAAAAGGTTGAACTCATCGGGAGGGAAACAAGAATTATTTATTTATAATTATGACTTTTGTTTTTTTGATAATTATATACATGTCATGACATCGTTTTTATTATACCAAAATATATATTTCACCTTACACTTAATACCAAAATATACTTTTATAAGTAAATTTTTAGGTAAAAATGCAGTTTAGAGTGAATCCGCGTATTACTAAAATTTTCAGTTTATGTCAAAATATATGTCATTTGAAGCTTAAAAATAAAAAAAACATCTCTTGGCGGTCACTAATTTAAATAAATTTAATCGCTTTTAAAATGTTCACTTTTTCACTTGCAATGGTCAATCAGGTGATGTGACATTTTACATTAGAAAACTTTATTTACATTTTTAAGAATATTCACATATATACAACATCATATAAAATAAAAACTCAATTCCCGGGGGTTTTGGGTCGGCTTTTGCAGTTGCCTGCTGGGCCAATGGCGATATTCTCACCTATTTTACACAGGGTTGTTTAAATTTGATGATTTGGCTAAACATAGCTGCCCTCACTCCTTGCCTAATAGGCATTATTGAGGGGTTGTGGTGTCTTTGTAGTCAGTAATTGTCATAGTTTAGAGATTTGTCGGGGATTAGTTTGGTATTTGTTCCCTGAAAAAGCTAGGAAAAAACAGGGTTGTCAGCGTTGTATGTTGGTCTTTCGATAGTCTTCGTTATTGTCACAATTCACAGGACTACTGGACTGTAAAACCACCCGAAAGTGCCAAAGTCGGGGACGGGGTTCGCCCTCGGCCGTGGCACTGCCAGTCGATTTCACCGTTCAGTCGTCCGTCCGACTAGATCTCGTAAGTATCTACATCGGGTGAATTGTTGTTTAGTACGTTATGCTCAGTGGAGGGTCCTGTTATTGTCGTCGGTATATGCTCAAACATTGATGAAGACAGCCGTGCTTTCTACGCACGCCGTCTTCCCGATGTATGTTGATGATGCTATCCCTCAACTCATCGGGGAGGCATCGCGCGTAGAAGTTTTCGGCTGTTTTGATGATAAAGTCTCTAATGAGTGGCATATTTGTCGTAGCGTGCATGTCTCGTATTCTAGTGTAGCGGTCGCACCCTAGAACTAGCCTCATACATCTGTTTTGGGCATTTTGAAGTTTATTATAATGGATTTGTGCCATTGAGTTGAAAACTGGGCAGCCATACGTTAGTATAGGTCTGAACACTGTTTTATACAGTAATATTTTGTTTGACAGGGTAACTCCACTCCGTTTGTTCATTAGGGGGTAAAGAGTCCTAATAACCCCACAGTTTTTAGCTACCCTGTCCAAAAGGTGTTGGCGAAACGTTAATCCCCTATCTAGCTGAAATCCTAAGTATTTTATCGCGGCTTTTGTTTCTATTGGCTGGTCTTGGACCCGAAGGGGCGTGTCTATTCCTTCGATCCGCCTTTTTGATATGAGTACTGTCTCGGTTTTACTAGCATTTAATTTGATTTTGTTTTCTGCTAGATAGGTGATCAACGGTCCGTTTATATGACTGTCCAGCTTTCTGACGGCGTCTTGGGCTGATTTTTGACTGGAAAAAACACAGATGTCGTCGGCGTACAACGCTGTCTGTACACCATTATCACCCATGGGTAAATCACAGGTCATAATTGTGTACAAATGCGGCGAAAGTACTGAGCCCTGGGGTACTCCCGCTCTCGCTAGGAAAGGTCCTGTTATTGTGGAATTAATCTTAATACAAAATTGTCTGTCCGTCAAGTATGACTGGATTATTTTTATAATGTGTACGGGAAAATCATTCGCAATCATTTTGTGTATTAGCCCACGGGTCCATACGGTGTCAAAGGCCTTTTCACAGTCTAATGTGACTAAAACCGTTTGGAGGTCATTATTAAAACCTTCTTTCGCGTGATGCGCAACTCTAAGGACTTGTGACACTGTACTATGCCCCTCTCTGAAACCGTATTGTTCCCGTGGGATAATTTGTAGTCGTTGTTCGATTTTTTTAAGTCTATTCAAAATTACAGTGTCCGTTATTTTAGCTATTGTGTTCAGTAAGGAAATGGGGCGGTAACTATCTATCTTATTGGCCGGTTTGTTCGGCTTTAAAATTGGGATAATATTTGCCATTTTCAAGCTACTGGGATAGTGTTGTAGCTTGAAAATGGCATTAATTAAGTGGTGGAGCTGCACGACAGCCTTTCTACACATATTTTTAATTAGAATGTTACTGATGTCGTCCGGTCCCGGAGCTTTTCTATTTTTGAGACTCTTAATTGCTTCACATACCTCTTTAGGGGAGGTGTAAAAGGAATGTGGCACTAATTGCGGTTCCGTCTGTTCCAGCGCATTTACTACAAGTTCAATGCGCTGCTGTTCAGGATTGTTTTCTTGTTTGTTGACAAAATTAGACTGAAAGAGTTCGCCGAATGCTTGTCCTTTGTCCTTGTCAGTGTTTAGTAAGTCTGGTCCTCGTTTCATTGTGGGAAGCAGCGAGTTAGATTTTTTAAATCTTCTCACTACTTTCCACAATGAGTTGTCGTGTGGTTTGAGCTCCGATAGGGTGGTTTTCCATTTATTGTTTCTATGTTCTTTGATCATTTTATTGATGGTCTTAGCGATGTTATACATACTAACCCTATCGTCGCTCTGTCTGTATTGTTGCCATCTTTTTCTAATGGTATTTTTATTATTTATCATGTCTGTAATCTCTATAGGCAATATGTCGTTGTGTTGTTTTTGTGTTTTAAGTGTGGTTGTAGCGTCTCTAGCTTTTTGTATTGCGTGAATAAAGTTGTTTGTTTCGATTTCTAATATTTCTTTTGTTGGAATTTTATTATTGATTTTGATTAATTTGTCTAATTCGTCTCTGTAGTTTGCCCAATTTGTCGTTTTATAGTCGTAGTATTGCCTATATTGTCGGGGTATTTTTTGAGTAGTCCATATTTCCAAGTACACTGGATCGTGGTCTGAACTTAGGGTGGATATAGTTCGCATGTTTCGAATGTCAGGGATGTTTTTGACTAGTGCAATATCCAGTGTACTAGGGGTGTGAGTCGCGCAGGAAGGGAAAAAAGTCGGTTCGTCGGTGTATTGTATTATGTAACCGTTCGCATCAGCGAAGTCTTTCAGTAGCATTCCACTGGGATTAGGGATGATACAATTAGCGTCCCATTCCGGATGTTTAGCATTAAGGTCCCCTGCCAGAATAACCCTGTTTCCTTTCGACATCAATATGTGCAGATCTCTACCTATTAAATTTTTGCTTGGTGTGTGATAAGCACCTATTATTACGATATTATTGACCTCAATGATAAGGTGTTCTAGTTTTGTTGAGACATGTGCTCTTCTGAGCTGTTTAAAAATTATATCTTTTTTAATTAAGATAGCTACCCCTCCCGCTCCTTGTCTTTGTTGTAGTTGTTGTCTGTCCTGTCTTATTATTGTGAAATCTCGTATTTTTACTTTGTCCGTTGATTTAAGGAACGTCTCTGTCAAAATAATTATGTCGTATTTATGTTTGTGAATGAAATTGCTTACAAGACCGATCTTGTTTAGCAGCCCGCGCACATTATAAAAACAAATTCTCAGTTTGTCTCGCTTTACGTTGTCGAATCTAGTTCCTAATGTTGAATTTATCTAAATTTGTCATGAAGTTATTAAATGTCATTAAGTATTGTGCAGGGTTGTTGTTACACTTACGTAATTGGGCGTTGAGTTCTCTGACGGCTCGGGTAAGTTCTGCTATGTTTACCATGCTGTTTAATTCTATTAATTCTTGATTTAGTGCAAAAATATCGTCCATTGTACCTACAGGCTGGTTTGGGATTTGGGATTGGGTACGGGGTTGGGTGTGGGGTTGATTGTTTTGGGGTGGTTTTTCTGTTTGCCTGCTCGATGAAGGCAGGGCAGGGAAATCTTCTATATTAGGGTTATTTCTATTCTTCCTGGTTTTATCCCAGGCATTTACTGCTGGTGGGGGTGCTGGGTTGAATTTTTTTGGTTGGGATTGTGTTAGTTTTCTCTCTTCCATTCTCGCAGCTCTATCTGTGTACGATTTGCACTGGGTGTAGTTGGCTGGGTGCGAGCCCAGGCAATTCGCACATGTGGCGGGTGTTTCCCTAGTCTTTAGGCATGTACGTGTTAGGTGGTCGCCGGCACATTTAAGGCATTTTGCCGGTCTGCCACAGTTAGAAGTGGCATGTCCCCACGCCTGGCATCGGTGGCATTGAATGATGCTCCTGGTTGAGTGTCTTAACTCCCAAATTACTCTAGTATTCTCGACTACCCTTACATTTTTGTTAAGGTAGTCGAGTGTGATGACTGGGTCGGTGACCACTAAAAATAGTGGCCGATGTTTAGTGGTCATTTTGAATATGTCCTTAGGTTTTATTTCGTATGAGGCAATCAAGTCTTCCTCTATAGCCTCCTTTTCCGTCCCATTCGCTAAACCCCTTAGTACGAAGGCATGCGTTTTGTCTGCTTTGTTGGTATAAGTATGGTGGGGTATTTCGGCCTGTTTTATACTGCCTAATAGGGACTCGTAGTCTTCTTGTTCCTCGGTGAAAATAACCGTGGTGGAATTGGTGTATTTTACCGAGTACTTCCCTTTTATTATTGCTTTTAGGTCACTAGTTAGAGTTGCGTGATTGTCTGTACGGCCATCTACCACTATAGGGGGGATGGAGGACTTTTTGGCTGTTTTTGGAGCTGTTTTGACAGTTGCGGTGCCGCTTTTCAACGTGCTGCTCTTTATTGGTAAATTAGGGGTGGCTTTGCCTTTAATTGTGGAGGTTGTTCCAGTATTTAGCTCAGGTTCTGCTTCACTTTCACTAAGCGAGTCATATTTGTTGGACAGTGGTATTGACGCAGCTGCTTTGCGTTCCAATAGTTTTACAAAATTTGTTTTAAATTTTTTGTATTTACGGGGCTTCTGGAATTCAGTGTTGTCTGATTCGTCTTCCCCGTCATTACCTACTTCAACGGTTTCTGGAGGTGATTGATTTTTCCTCTTTACGAGTAGTGTCTGCGGCGGTGTAGCCTTCTTAATAGGAGAGGGTAACGTAAATATACTTTGACGTAGGGGTGGTATTTTTGTTTGTGTTTGACTCTCCTCTTCACTGGAGGTCGGAGTTTGTGAGTTCGACCCGAAGTTTAAAACTCTTGCCGTGACCGAACTTGGCATCGGTAGGGTTTTATACGCGGACTCGAAATTTTTTATGCCGGTATCACTTTTATTTTTAAGGTTAACCTCACTTTCGCGTTTTGAACTGATTTTAGTTTCACTGTTTTTGAGGTTACTCGCACTCTCGCTCACGTTGTTCGCACTGTCGGGGTTGGTTGTACCACTTATGTCTAGGGGGGAGTTTTCCGCACTTTGATACACTAGCGTGTTCTCTGCGCTGCTGGGATTCTCTTCTGCTTCCATGGGGATGTCTTCTGTGTTTGTATTCGTCACCTCAGAGGGTGGAATGAAAAAGGGATTTTTATCCATAGTTGTAAAAGTTAATACATTTTTTTCGTATTGGGGTGTTTTTTGGTGACCATATCCTGGGGAATGTTGCAAAACCTCCTCAATGGCTTTTTTTATTTCGATATCTTCGTCTGGAAGACTGCTGGAGCTATATCTAGTTTTCTCCATACTTTCTTTTTTCCTTTCAGAGGAATGTTTACGTGAGCCTTCTGGCCTCGCATTTTTCGACTCGGGGTGGTTTGAGGTCTTGGGTTTGGGCGTACTCACGTGCCTATATGGGTGGTGTATTGTCCTTTTGATTTTAAGGGTTATAGGACTCTTGGGACTCCTGTCCTTCTCATTTTTGTTGATTTTAACAGCTGGGGTTCTGTCCAATTTTTCAAGTTTCTCCTTGTGTCTTCTTGAATATAATGTTTCCGACTTTGGATTATTGGAGGCTGTGGCGTCTGTGGCCGCCCTTGCGGGCTCCGACATTAGGGATTCGCTCCCTTCGAGCAGTTTTTACCTACTATACCTGGCTATATGCTTGGGCGTGAAATCTAAAACAACAACAATGAAAATTTTTAGGTTATGAGCACCTGGTGGTTGTAAAGTGAACTAAAACTCGTCTAGCCGCCGTAAACCGTCCCCAGATAAAGTACAGGGGATACTGTGTACTAGTTTACTGCGATTGTTAAATTTATTATAATGACATGCTATACTGTAAAGTGACAGTAGATTTGAAATATATTTTTTTAATATTTAGATTTTGCGTTTCTTCTGATAATGGATTGTATTAATTTACATGGCGAAATGATAATGATATTATATTGCAAGTGCAGCGTTTGGGTGTAATACCGCAAAATAATAAAAACAAATGTTCAGTGGATAAATGTGGTGGCTATTTTGTAATGACGCCATGTGCAAAATCGGAGGATGGTTTTCGTTGGAGATGCAATGGACACATAAACAAGAGTAACTTCGATGTCTCCAGGCCGTATAGGTTAGGTAAATCAATTGAGTTTTGTCACAATATCAATAATAAAAAAGTTTTCCATATAGTTCCAACTTGAGTAGGTATATTATGTAAAACTATTAGGTTCCATTGACTGATTTTTGCATGGATTTCTAATAGTTTTTTATATTAAACATTTTATCTACGTTTTCCCGTTTAATTTAAGCGAGGTATCATTGAATTTACAAAAGTTAGCTGTTACATCACACAAAATGTAAACTTAGAAAAATTGTCAAAACAAAAATTGAGCTGGTATTTTTATATGTATACAATATTTGATTTATATAAGTAGGTGCATTCCAAAGATACAAGTTTGTGTTCTCTACGCGCTCACTATATGTATTTAGTCAACTAATTATTTTTAGTACACAACTGATACCAAATTTCATGACATTGATTGTTGCTTAGATTTGTATTTTAGCATTAATTAATTTAATGGTTTTAAATTTACAAACTATGAATAAAGTTTTCAAATTTCTTCCTAAACGATAGATACTAATGCCGGGCCTGCTTATGTAAATTCGTTGTCGGTCGAAGCCTAGAAAACACGAAGAAGAAAACTATTCGACGAGGGTATTCTCTTTCTTGCGCATAAAGTGATTCCTTGTGTGCCGGACGCAAGCCTTAATAAAATATTTTAAAATTTTGGGTAAATAAATTTTCGACAGGTATAGATATCGGCAGGTAATTTGCAGTTACCTGATTTTTAGTTAATCTTGTGTCAAAGCAGACACTTTGTAGCCATAATCTTATCTTGTTTGCTTATAAAGATTATTAATTTATCTAAGGGGACATTAAGGGAACATTAAGAGTATGTTTTGCACGTCCAGCAATTTACATTGGGTTAATTGCTTATTAAATACTTGTGGTATAAATATTTGTGTGTACTAAACATCTGTTTAAAATTGATAGGTCATTTCGAGAACACTCAAATTCTCTTCAAGTACAATAATTATAAGCTAAATCCGTAAGTATAATTCACGCCAAGCAGTTGAAGCTTCAGATAATCCACTACTTCGAAGTTAATTAGATAGGTACATACCCCTGGCGCCCGACGCGGTCAGCAGTTAAAAGGATTAGTATATTTATTTACTTTATATGGATGGAACTTTTGGTAATTGTCCAAAATATTTTTTTCAGTTATTTTGTTTGTATCTATATAGGGTATTGTAATTCCTTTTAACAACATAAAACTCAATCCGAGAATAACTTTTCGTCATATACTTTTTCCAAAAAAAATGCAAAATAAAGGAATAAATAATACTTAAATAAACAGTAAACTTATTTCAGTTTTTGCGTATGGACCTGTCTCGCTAACAAACTCAAATGAATGATATCACCAATCCGCGCCTCCCGGCTACACTAAGTGATGCATGTGACAATTCCGTGCTTTGTAAAGTGGGTTTAAGAAGATTTGAGAAAAAGTAGGTATTTTTCATAAATATTTTTTGTTATTTTAATCAAGTTTAAAATACTATTTTTAGATCTAGAGATGTCTAATTAGACCCCTACTAAAAGGAAATACAATACTTCGAAATCACCCTGTATGTAAATGATACCTATGTCTCAGTTTTATATTGTTTATTGAAGAACAAAATGAAGTCAACTTATGTGAAATTGCTTGAAATTTCAATTGAACAATGTAGCGAACTTGGATTCGTTTGGCATCTCGACACCATAGACATTGATTTTGAAAAAGGAATACATTCTGTTGTTACAACTGTGTTTCCTAACACCAAAATTATAGAATGTAGATTCCATCTGGCATAATCTTGGTAAGAACAAATTTATTTCAATCTCTAGTGTAGTTATTGTTTTATATTTTTACTTTTTCTCACTTATACGAGGCGTCAATTATACATAGGTATACAATGTGTCCCAAAAAGTTTTATACAAATGGGAAAAAGTTTCTTTTACATTTTGCACAAAAAATATTCTTCATAAAAATCTTTACATTTTCTAAATACTAAAATATAAATATCAAATATTAACATTTTTTTAGTCGTATACGCGGTATAGTGGGTAGGTATGGAGTAAAGTATTTTTATTTTTAAAAATGTTTAAAAAATACTCAAAAAAGTTTTTTAGAGTTAAATTTTTAATTTTTTTTTACACAAATTTAAAAATCCAATAAAATAAAACTGAATTTAGATATATACAATTCTACGTGTATGCGATACCACTTATTATCAATTTTGATATTTTCAAAAACAGATACTTTTCTGTTGCTGAAAATCCATATTTTTGGACCAACCTTAGTATACGACTGAAAAATTTTGATATCTGATGGTTGTATTTTAGGTTTTAAATCATGCAGAGATTTTTATAAAGAATAATTTTTTGTGAAATGTAAGATAGACTTTTTCCCATTTATATAACTTTTTGGGACTCACTGTATTAAAAAAATATGTTTCTAGAAAATTTCATAAAATCGTAAAAATAAACGAATAAACAGATTCAATTAAAATTTTGTATATAAATAAAATAAAAAGTCACTATTGTCACACACAATCCATTGGTGTACGTTAAATGGGTACAGTATAATAGTAGAAATACTTTTTTCTTCATTATAATACAATACTCATTGGAGAAAGTTAATTTTCAAATGGTAAAACTAAAAAAAAATATATAAAAAAAGTACTTAGAGGAAAAGTACCGTGTATGCTAACAAAATGTTTTTTCTCATAAATATAGAAAAATACTTCGACTTGCCTATCAAAAGAATATCGAAATCCTGTCTCTGAGATAGGAAAATGGTTACACCATATAGTTGGACCTACATTTTAGCATCCAGATAAAGTAGGAGATGTATTTGCTTTTGATTTTGCAGAAGATATGGCTCAAAATGAAAAATTGGTTCAATTCGCGGACTATTTAACGGATAATTATATGAGTCAAGACTCAAATTTCCCCCTTAATATTTGGGCAGAATGTTCTGCAGACATTACTAGAACTACGAACTGTTGCGAAAGTTTCATTAGAAACTTAAAAATTATTGTGTAGCTTATCATCCAAATATACACGTGTTTCTTGAGGCGCTGAAGTACAGGAAGCTACCATTGTATAAAAAAATAAGGGTAAAATGACATATAGATGTATACCTAGTTAACTTTTTAACCTATAAATTTTTAAACTGTGTATAGCGATTTAAGATTTATATCCAATATTATATTTTTAATGCTATTTTATATTCTTATAAACTTATTATTATTTTATATATTGCCTAACAATAATAGTACTATCAAAGAACATTTTTAAGTTTAAATTCCACAAGAGACACAAAAGCAATATGTTTCAAAGGTTATAATTTGCATAAAGATGCACTCATGCACACGTTACATCGTAAATACCAACAAATTAATATGGACATTTATGGATGGAGAGCAAATTAATTGCGTCAGAAATATTTTGTTTATTAATCCCCTGATGATAATAATAATAATAATAATACAATAAGTTTGATTGTTGTCTATATACCGGGTGAGTTATGAGCAAAAAGTTTGCCCAGTATAGGATTTTTTAAAATTATAATAAAAGATTTTCAAAGTACATAGTTAGACAACTAAATCTGAGTATGAGACATTTTTATTACATTTTCGTTAATAATTATAAATGCAAGTATTTAATAACCTCTAAAAGTTCATTTAAATCAACGTTTTACAAATAGATGCATAGGTCGACGCGGGTCCCGTTAATTAACCAACAAGATCTCCAGATCTTACACCTGGAATAATTTTTATGGGGCTACCTTAAATCAGAGGTGTACAACAAAAAAATGAATACCCGAACACAGTTATTAAAAAAAATTAATAATGTATGTAACAACATTAGAAATAAACCAGAAATAATTGACAAAATTAGTGAAAAACCTGCTAAATGTTCGCAGATGTATATTGACGTTCACAATGTTTATTTTGAAAATCTAGTTTAGTTTTAATTAATTATTTGTTTCTGTTTGTTTTTCCTGTTACTTTAATAAATAAAGTGATTCCGGTTCTCTGTAGATCTTCAATTTCTTATTGGAAAATGCAGTAGTAAGATGGTACACAATAAAATGTTTGATTTCAATATTGTAAATACTGATTTATAATATTGTAGTCGCCATTATAAAAATTTACTTTACGAAAGTAATGATAATGCCATTAAATATTATAACATTATTTTATTTAATGATCCATGTACTATTTAAATGTCCAGTAACCTTTATTAAAATTCAATATATAAGTATTCTAGCTAAGAAGAACAATATAAAAAAGAGGGACCGGTTCAGAAATTAAATTATGGCTTTAATTAACCTAAAAGATTGTAACTTTCGTAAAAATTTTTTATTAAAATATGTTAGCCGTTCAAACAAAATGGCCGACTTTACTTTTAGCAAAAATCATAAATTATTAAAAAAAATTTTTTACAAAATTTTTTTTAGGATTTATTTTTAGAATTTATTTTTAATTTTTTTTGTATAGGTGTTTTTCGGATAGGTAAAATCGTTTCAGCTCGCGACACCGTCATGCTAATAATAATATATCTAAAGCTATAAGTATGACATGCGCTTGGCCAAGTTGTGGAAGTATATTGAGTGTATGGACAAAATTTGATTTTTATAATAATTTTTTTGTTGCAAAAATGTTTAATGTGAAAACTTCTATAGTTACATTATG